GGGTTGGAGCCAATTCAGTTCTGAGCAGTACAGTCCGGATTCTCGTATTCTTAAATTCAAAACTATTCCGATTACTACACTGAACTACGAGCATTCATAGCAATACTGTCACACTACCGTCGTTTCATACCAAATTTATGCATCGTTCTTTCTCCGCTCTATGACCTACTGGAGAAGAAAACTAGTTGGAGGTGGTCCCGAGGTGAACAAAGAGCATTTTAAGAAGCTAAACGTCTACTGATCTCATCAAAGGTACTAGTACACTGTGATCCTGGAAAGCAGCTGATAATCCAATGCAATGCCTAACCATTTGGGGCAGGCATCGTACTCGGGCACGCAGACTCTGACAGGACTATCCGCTCGATACCCTTTGCATCACGCACTCTCCAGTCGGCGGAAAGGAACTACTCCTAACTTGATAAGGAAGTACTGGCCGTCGTATTCGATATCAAAGGATTTCACCAATACCTTTGGGGTAACGTTTTTGAAATACATACCCACTTTAAACCGTTGCTGTCTCTATTAGGCGAGAATAGAGGAATAGAACAACTGAATGCACCCAGAATGGTGCGATGGGCGCTCCTGCTCTCTGCCTACAACTACGGGATTCACTGTATCCCCGGTCAGAAAAATCTAGTTGCTGATTCCTTGAGTCGTTCGCTGCTCCGTACCACAGCTGATGAGCTGAACGAAGTGCCAGTAGAGTTTGTGCACTCACTGCAGCGCTTGGATAACTCTCCAGCATCTAGCATGGAGATTAAACAAGAAATGGACAGAGACCCGGTATTGCCCCAAGTTAGACGGATGATATTGCACGGCTGGCCAATGAAAGTCACGGATGAGCTTCGTCCTTACCTTAATTTCCGTTTTATACTGAGTCTTCATGACGGATGCATATTAAGGGGTTCTCGCATAACTGCCCCAGGATCAGTTGGGAACAAATTGCTGAAAGAACCACACGATGCCCACCCGGGTGTAGTACGATTGAAGGCCCTCGCGAGATCATACGTTTTGGTGGCCTCAGCTGAACCAGAACATCGAGCAATTGGTCCGTTGCTGTGACTATTGCCAACAACACCAAAATAATAAACCAACAGGACGGATACACCGATGGGCGCTACCGGACAGTCCCTGGCAGCGCGTGCATGGCAATTACTTCGGACCGGTTAAGAAGAAGATGTTACTAATGCTACGCAAAATTGATTGACGTCCATATTGTACCCAACAACCTCCGAGTACACCGTCAACAAAGTGCGTTCGAGTTTCGCCATATACGGGGTGCCTAAAACACTATGTACAGCAGCTAACGGTCCCCAGTTTACAAACTCAGTTATCAAGTATTTTCTGAAACGTAACTGTGTCCATCATATCACATCGGCACCCTACCACCCCGCATCCAATGGCTTAACCGAGAGAGCCGTCCAAACAGTTGAGCACGGATTGCGCAAGCAGCGACCAGCGTCATTACAAACCAAGCTCAACATATTTCTGTTTGCACATCGGACGACACCTTTAGAATCCATCAATAAAACTCCGGGAGAGGTGATGTTTGCGCGACGATTGGACCTAATTTTTCTTAACCCACGTGAATCTATGCGGCGAAACATGTACCTCATGCAAACAGGTAAGCAAGTCGGATTATCGGAGGAAAAGGAATTTGATTCTAAAGTTCATACGAAATTGCCGCATGAGCGCCTTTGTGTACCCGGTATATTGCTCGAACAGTCCGGAACGCAAACAGCCATAGAACTTGGCGTTGGAAAAACGGTCCATCGGCACACGGATCATCATCATGCGTTAGAAAATCATGAATAAACACAGTGATACCATACAAGCCCTGCCCGGTTGTGATGAGCCGATTGCGGTTCGTAAGCCCCTACGATCACCAAAACCAATTGACCGTTTTGTTCCCGGGCCATGACCAAAGCTGGATTGCGGGGAGATGCTGCATACGTGCTTGAGGGCTTAAGTGCATACGTTCCGCCATCCTGCGCATCGATAAGTTGTTCGCTCCACAGACGTTATCGATTGATATCTACTCAGATCCATCAACCTCACGCAATGGCCTATGCCAATAATGCCGGCCGAAATGGGCCCGATCCTGATTGACTGTTAATTCTATTGCTGCCTTGTTGAACATACGTTTGACACGATTGATTATGAACGAGTCCTAATAAACCTATCTTACGCTGCGTACTGTTGTTCTACGTTGCTAGTGGGCTACGGGTCTGAGACTACAGTGTTTGAAATCCAAACGTAACAAGCGAGTTGTTACAAAATAGGAATTTTTATTATAAAGTAACCGGCCTTCTGTGGCGCATGATGATTATATTGAACATATACCACTCCCTCCCTTACGCCATCGTTGTGATGCGTGGGACCGAGGGAGGGATCAGACAAATCTGTTCGATGATTCAGCTGCAATTTGGTTGCATTTCGGATTTTCTAACAGACCCAAATTAGGGGTGTTAAATATTTCCAGACCAGAATCGGTCGCTTGTCGTTCTGTACATCGCTAAACGGTTATTATTGAAGTTGCCCATCTGTGGTGTGCCTGGCCTACGAGATGACACGTATCACGGAGCGACACGTTACACTGTTCGGACAACTGTGATCAATCAAGCTTCCCGGATGACGTCAGCAAAGCGCCTACGCATTACAGCTTCTGGACTACAAACTGTAGGCCGATGGTACCAATCAGTCCAAAACCGTGCAGCCCAGACAGAAACTGTACAAAGCTAGAACTACTAGCACGCGACTGGCAGAGGCTTGAATGACCAATGAACTTGTTTGTGTATATTATTTAATCCCCCCTTATGTATCTCCACAAACGAACTGCTATTACTGTGGCCTTTTCCTCGCGTCTCGATTACGTGGGATACTGCGTGCAAGTACCAGTGTGACCCAGTGCTTACGTGGCGTCCGTGATTTCTAATTTTGTGATTCGTATCTCGTGATCTCTGTATACTACAACTATTAAATCATCCGAGCCTAATTTCAGCCACACTCGCGGGTTGTGTTTTGGACGTGTATAAAATAACCTGACGCTTTACCTCTCAGCCCAGGTCGTTAACGTTTTTCAACAGACTTTCGAGAAATTGCGGTCAATCGGTCACTAAAGGCCACTCTGAGCGATCGGTATGTCTGAACATCAATTTTTCCCATTTCTTCCGAGTGTGACGATTTTCCTGTATGGAACCACCCAACGCGTGCGATTGTGAAAAATAAGAAGTTGACCCATTATTTCCCAATCTTGGATATGAACACCTCAAGTACCGGTTGATAAACTCACAAAATACAACCAATTACGGATAATCCTTATCCTTTATTTTGTTAAATAATCTCAAAAACTAACGAGGTCGTCATGATCAGAGTGCATTCATAATTTTGCCACAATTTATTTTGAAATAACCTTTTCCCGAACTGAATTTGAATAGAGAATACAGCAGCACAGTGTTACACTCGTATGAAACAGCTTTTTCTATGGCATTTACACTGTCTTCTTTTTTACATTCCTGAAATTTCGTGTGATCATCCAGGATATTTTCCATTTTCGAGCTGTAATCACATCTATCCATCACAACTACATCCGATCCTTTATCGGGTCAAAACTGTATCACTCCAATTTCGTGAAGTAATCCCATGTGGCTCTTGGTCAGTAGACAATTCTATCTTGAGGGCGGGCATCTGTATTGATGTTCTAGGTGTACGAGCTTCGCTTTGAGCCAAGTGAATGAGTCAGTGGATGTTGGCTGAAATTTCGATAACTGATGCCTGAAACATTCGAAGCGGGTCTGAGATTTGATGATCTTTGTCTTCCTTGGTTTGAACGTCGTATCTCAGTCCACATGATAATGCCTCCATCTGTTCTCGAGTTAATTGGAGGTATGACAGGTTTGTGATGTATCGCTCTGGATCGACTGGGAACAAAGCCTTCATCTCTGATTGATTTATCGAGGTATGGAACTTTCGTGTAACGTCTATCTTTGTTTTCTCAACGACCTTGGCACAGAAGTTGATGAACTTGATTCGGCAGATTAGGTTCAGTTCATCGAGCACAGAGCTGAGTCGATCGTGTGTATTGGCTAATTGTTCCAGTCTCTTCCTGTCGTTGTCAATATGGCATTTGGCTAGCCGTTTCAATTTCTGTAGAGTAGGTCTTAGCTCGTCACGTTTTAATCTTCTGCAATAGCACAGTGGGTAACTGTTTGACGAGACACACTTTATTTTGAAACATTCGTCAATGAAATTCTCCTGTTTCCTGCATTTTTGAGAAGAGAATTCCTCCTAAGTTTCCTCCATCAAAAATAAACCAACTTTTTAGAGGCTACGCGAAAAAGACCGACTATCCCTGCAATTGTCAATGCGTTTACCAATTCATCAGGATGGTGCTGTAGCTTGAATAAAAAACTGCCTCCGACGGCAAAAAACAAACGTGTCGCATTCCTGAGACGTTGATTAGATCTTCGCCCGATTGTATAGGCTCTCACCTACTGAACACCAAATCAGATCGATCTCCCAAATTATCAGATTCATGCTGGTTTCAGCATCTTCCTCACTTTCTTGCTTGTGCTGAAAAACACGACCGAACAAAATCACGAGTGATACGACCCAGTGTCGACGTGCACAATTGCATGAAGTCTCATCAGTTGTTCTCAGATTTTCATGCTCAATATATGAGCTCATCAGGGAAGATAGGAGCAGGTAGGTGTACCCTAAACAATAATAACCACATTAGTGTTTCTCTGAACTCTTACGGATCGATCACCTCATTTAGCGCCTGTTCAAACTGACGAAACGGGAGTCTCATAATCCAGGAAAGATCAATGCTCTACACAGTTTCACTTCACTTCTTCTGACTAACACGAAAGCTTCAAATGATGGGGACCGACATAAAATCCAAGATATTCAGTTTTCTAGAAAGTAGCGTTTATGGGTAATGCACGTGCATAAGATTAGATTTACCGCATCAAACGAATGCTGTTGGTTGTTGCGCAACAGTACCGTACGTACATTAATAAACTTGAAAAACGTAAACTTTACCGTCTAAACCATTTCAAATCAATGTTTCATATAATACTACCATTCCACCACAATGAAAGTGTGTTAACAAGAGCAAATTTTGGTTGTTTTATATCAATTCCTTTTTTACAGTTCTTCTTGCTCTACTCCACGCGATCCAAATCCGGGAAAAGTGTCAATAAAAACAATTTTCGAGCACTAGATCATTTTCTCGTTTAAAACCAATCGCGGAAACCGAGTCCAAACTGAACCTCAGTGTGGTCAGAATTGGACACCTTCGATTGTGAGTAGTCATTCCTCTGTTAAACCTCGTGGAATGCTTCGCTACGACCAAGCCTCGATTGAGGAATAACTGTTCACTGTCTTCCAGTTAAAGGACATGTCGTTCTCACGAAATCAAGAAGGCAAAAGCCAACCTCAGTAGCCATACTCGGATCGGTAAACTACTGATAGTTTATCTATGGGAATTGGCTAAAATCTCTGATTTCCAACCAAACTGGAAGACGCTTATTAACCGTACACCTTTCGGGTTGTCTCAGTTGTTACCGACTGGATTGGACACATTGGACGATTGACCCCATCCAAAAGGCGTGTTATCCGGTTATCTGGCTTGTGGGTCATGTTCCGGTTAGCCCAAGCTTTCGCTTGTGAAGTCCCCGAGACAATAATGAAATCATCAACTGCATTTTTTCTTCTGAATATTGTTGTCGAGTGATTAAGTTCGAAAAGGCTGAAAGCAGAAACATTAAAAACATTATATACATATATAAATATATCGAAATATGTATTAGCTGAATCCACATCTTTTAATTATAAATGTGTTCCATCCTCTTAAGTGGATAGTGAAAAATCCGCTTTCGAAATTTCAGATAACATTATGCCGTAGAGTAAAACTTTCCGGGTGACTGAAGCAACAGATGTGCGTTATACCTTATAAAACACAATTCTAGGGTTGAGTGCATAACAGGAGTTCTTTTGACCGATGATCCGGTGGACAAATGCAATCACTTGAACAGTCGCATTCACTCGATCGGTCAGACGGACAGCGACCGTTTGTTGTAACCATGCCGGAAACTACATTTCGTTCAGGCAAATTTATTTTACGGCATTTGGGTATTATTGATCCAAAATTGTTGGGCATTTTGGTTCACGTGTCTGCAAGAAAGTGTAAAAATAAAAAGGATAAACCCGAACACAGTAATAGCCAATCAGTGATTGTTGTAAATTTGCGTTTCCAAATTGATCGTATTGATTACCAGTGCATTCATCAATCGGGGAACGCAACCTCGCTGTCAATAGCACAATAATTCTTGTAGCAACATGAAGTTAGCCGCGCTGTGATGGATTTAAACCCCATTCTATCAGATGTATGGGATAGTGCCACAATCAAATCGATCAGGTAGAAGGTTATTGCAAGCCTAAAGAACACGTCGGGCAAATATTACTGTATCGGATCATATCAAAAAGACTGGGATCGTTACACGAAATGATGAAATCCTCACTTTTTAACTAAATGATTCACAATGCTACGAGCAATTAAGTTTATCCACATCTGTCTTTCAGTAACGCCCGCCTGAAGATAAAGATTTCACTTCAAATTCATAGTACTGTCATGAAGTACGAGTGTCAACTGAACGGGCAGTAGGTCCTAAGCCGAATTACTTCGAATGCTAAAGAATCAGTCAGGATGTTGCTACTCGGTTACCGTCTCCAAGTTAGTACAATGTCATACTCAGGCATACATGTGCAAGCAAATTCACGTGTATCACAGAAAAATTCCATTTTTTCACTAT